TGGTGTTTGAGTTCTTTGTAGGGTTCTGGATATTAGCCCTTTGTCAGAATGGACATATTGCCAAACATTTTCTCCCATGTTGTAGGTTGCCTGGTTCGACTGCTGGATGGGTAGTTCTTTGCTGTGCAGAAGCTCTTTGAGTAATTAGACCGGCATTGCGAATTTTGGCTTTTGTTGCCATTGCCTGTTTTGGTTGTGAACATGAGAGTCCTGTGGCCAGCCTATACCTAATGTATAGCTAGTGGGCGCGTGAGTGATGTAGTGTATCAAGCAGTTAAACTGCTAAATGTCATCTGAATTAATTTGTATAAGAGAGTGAGGAGGAAAGGATCCAGTTTCAGCGTTCTACTTACGGGCTAGCCGAATGTCCCAGAGCGAGAGTAAAGAGAGGGAACCTGCGCCAAGTCTTGTGCTCGGCAGGTTGTCAAAGATCAGATGGGCTGTAGAGTGTGTATTATGCTGAGAGCTCGTGGCTGGTTCCATTGGTGTATGATCGTCTGTTGGGTACCATACTGAGCTGTGACGAGCGGCGGGTGTAGTGATAGTTTGAAAGTCAGGGGCATGATGCCTCCAGCTTTGTCTTTTGACTTAGTGACTACTGGGTACATAACGAAATGAAGGCAGAAATAAAGATGTTCTTTGAAACCAATGAGAACAAAGATACAACATACCAGAATCTCTGAGACACACTTAAAGCAGCGTGTAGAGGATTTCATTCTTTTAAAAAGTTGATTCTTATTTCATTGCGTATATACACAACAACATTTACTTTATCCATTCAGCCACTGATAGACACTAAAGTTGATTATGTATCTTAAAGTAATGCCACAATGTGCAGCATCACTTTAGGATGCAGGTATCTCTTTGACATGACTGATACCATGTCATTTGGATATATACACAGAAATGGAATTTTTTGATCATATGGTGTTCTATGTTTAATTTTTTGAGGAACTGTCATGCTGTGTTCTAAAATGGCAGTACCAATTTACATTCTAAACAGCCGTGAGCAAGGGTTCCTTTTCTCTACATCCTCAACACTTACCTCATTTTCTTGATAACAGCCATCCTAACAAGTGTGAGGTGATATCTCATTGTGGTTTTAATTTGCCTTTCCTTGATAATTAGTGATGTTTATCATTTTCATACACCTTTTGGCCATTTGTATGTCTTCTCTCAAGAAATGTCTTTTCAGGTCACTTTGTGTAGAAAGAACATTTTAAGAATTAAGGTTGTGACATGTTTATACAGCTATCGAAATGTGATACAAATGCCAAGTAGAGAAAATTTCAGAAACTGCAAACTATAAGAAGATTGCTTGATAAACACAGTACCAAAAAGAGACTCATTTTGCGTGAGTCAAACAATTGAGAAACACTGTTAAAATTTTTTGGACAGATTTGTGATGTTAATAAACTCCTGATCTTCTCTAGACCTCATTTTCCAATGATACGAGAGTGCTGCATGTGTTGAATTTTTTTTCTAGTTTTAAAGGTAAGTGATACTATCACTATACTAACTTTAACATCATTAATCTAAGCATTATCTGTCACAGCGTTTTTCTCAGGGGGAAACTCTGATAGCTTCTAAGATTCTTATCAACTTGATGATTTTTGTCAGTGCAGCTATATTGGAGGAAAAGCATTAGAAGTATGAATTTTTGATATAACGTAAACAGCACAAAAGCTGTAACATATGCTAAGATATTATATTGTTGGATAAAGAAAAATATTAATACCACATAAAGATCCCATATAATAGAATTATATAGCTTTACTTTTTGCACATCACATGATTGTTAATCAAAGCTTGCAGAACTCAAAACTACAAAGCTATTGTAACCTATACTATACATGCAGTCCTCATTTTGTGCACTTTAAATATGCACAAATGTCAGAACCACAATTTAGTTAAATGATACTAGTCCTCCAATAACACATTTCAAATTTCATAGTAATTACACAAGAGCTGCTGGCTCTTTAGCCCACAAATCACTAGAGAAATAACAGATGACATGATGATCAGTGACCAATCATAGCACTTCTTTCAAATGATTGGTCACTGCACATTTGCAATCTTCAAACATAGATAGAAAAGTGTGTTTTCTCCATGTTTCCCAGAGATAAACCCACATGATATTTTACAAAAGTTGATAATAGACAAAGGGGATTAGCCTATAAAAGTGAAAGTATAGCAAAGAAACAAAATGTGATAATGCTGGGATGGAAACTGGATGTGAGTAGGAGATCTGAAAATGGTAACAACAAACAGACAAGAGAAACCTAGGCCCGCATGAAAAGCGAAGGTAAGTACTATGTTGAAAAAGCCTGATAAATATAAAAAACAAAGTCATTTCAATAGGATTCTAATTCAATGTAAATGGAGTTGTAGGAGAAATAGCTGACCATAGAATGCTGACACTGAATCCTTTGGAGAGATGTAGTTATGCAGCCAGAGGAACTTAATGAGGGTGAATCCACGACACAAATGAGGAAAGTGATCGTAACAAAAAAGACGACAACATCTCGGAGGAAGTGACACCAACGTGAAACTTCACATTGAAGTTCCTTTAAATGTTAAGGAACTCTCAGAGAAATTTCACAACATTTAAAGTACAACAGGCAAAATACTGGGAACTAATCTAAACTTTGAAAGGAATATAACAGCTCAATTCACCAAGACATAGAAAAGATGCTCATTCCATATGATAAGTTATAGAATTAGATAGAAGGCAAACACTATTCCAACTACTTCTGACAAGTTTTTGCAATGATATCATACACTTTCTCAATGTTTCTAATGTTCTAAATTACAGTGTACTAAAAAACATTAGTTTAGTTTCACTAATTATTCATTTCCCTATACATTTATGAACCACAGTAGTAGAGTTTTTAATGCTTTGATAAGAAGTTTTAAAGGTCACAGAAAATTGTCGTTTTTACCTTTGATTATTAAGATCACATTACCTGGTTTCATCTTACATCGCCATTTTTAGGGTCCCATACTACTGTGCAAAGCAAGGAGTGTATGTATTGCCAATGCCTATATTTTACTTTCAAGGATTTTGTCAATATAAGCACAAATCATTCAGAAATCACTAGTACACCTATTACTATTATAATAGCTAGTGCCCCTTCTGAATGTATTTTAAAAATTACTTGCAGTATCATGATATGATGTTGAAAGATGCCCTTTGTTTCACTTTTAACAAAACCAGATAAATAGAAGAGCATTATGTACCTGGTAGTGGTAACTGAACTAATATACCACTGACTCTTGGGTCCATATTCAATTGATCAGTTATGTCCAAAAGCTCTTCCTGAGAAACATCCTTCGGTTTTAGAATGAGCTCACTGCAAATACCTAGAAGAAAAACAGGCAGAGAAGGTTACTTGACTAACTGAATATGGTTTTTCATCAATAGTGTCTAACACAGTGTGGGACTGTTTCTACTGCAATGAAAGGTTCTGATGTTTCATGCATCATCAGGAAGGATTGTTCCAATAGTACAAGTGTTTTCTCTTGATTCACATGCATTCTTTGACCTGGAATGCCAGGTGACAATTTGTTCTTGTTTGAGATAAGCTACTGTTAGTAGATTTGAAGAGAATAAAAATATCGCTACCACACAACTATTAGGCCAAGTTTAACAGAGTGAACAAGCCAGGTTTATTATTTAATTAAAGCAAATATAATGAAAGCAGGCCTTTTAGATGTAAACTATTCTTTGCATATCTTGCCATAGAATATAAAACACACTGAATTAACCCTATAAGAAATTGGAAGAAAAATCATATGAAATTAACATAAAGCTTTGGTAACTGAATAATCTTTAATAATAACACATGCAATTCAAATGGCACTTATTTGATCATTATCATTCATAATTATCACAATTTGAAGTAAAAACAGAAAACATATTTAGTAGTAATTACAACTAAAACACATACCCACCTACAGCAGAAGCAGCTCTTATCTTATTCCTGACGTATGTATGGCTTGCTGGGTTATCTCCCACTAAAATTATACTGAGGTGAGGTCTTCTGTTTCCAAGGGAAACCCATGATTCCACACCTCGCTGTATTTCTTTCCGGATACGCTTGGCCATTTCAGTTCCTGATATAATAATGGCTTCATGTCTGTGGAAAGCAAAACAATAAATGTAATACTAAAAAGAAAATAAGAAATATTCAACTGTGCAAATTTAAGGTACAAAAATCAACAAAACAACTATGATTCTCCAAGCACCCAAAGTTTGATTTTTTTTTTCAATTATAGTGACACCTACTCTTCAGGTTCATAAATATTTTATAATTTTGTGAAGAATTGCAACTCTGTTATTTAGTTCTACAGTATAATCTATCTGCTGTAGAATGAATGTGCATGTCTCTTCAAAATTCATATGTTGAAATCCTAACCCCAAATGTTATGATATTAGGAGGCAGGTCCTTTGGGTGGTGATTATACCATGAGGATAGAGCCCTCATAAGTGACATTAGTGTTCTTTTAAGAAATTTCAGAGATCTCCCTTGTGCCTTCTGCCATGTGAGTACATAGCATGAAGACAGCTATCTATTAACCAAAAAGTGGGCCCACACCAGACACTGAACCTTCTAGTGTATTGACCTTGGACTTCCCAGTCTACAGAACTATGAGAAATAAATTTCTGTTTTTGTATAAGCCAACCAGTCTATGGTATTGTTATAGCAGCTCAAATAGACTAAGATGCTAACTACAGTGTACATTTCTTTACAACTTTCACTTATGTACTACATATATATAACATATATATTATACACACATATGCATACATATGCATATACATATACACACATTTATATATTCATATAAATTATCAAACCACATACCCAAAATCCAGACTATAACATTGCATAAATTTAAGGTTCTGCTATTTTTTCTAAAGAGGCAGATCAGCACAGCCTAGTTAAAACTGGCAACCATCTTGAAGACTGGACTCCACTGTGTATACACATAGCCCCACAATCTTGCGACCCTAAGGCGAAATCAGTTCGTTTTTGGTTAGCGTATTCTATACAAGATGCTGAAATCATTAGCTTCATACTACACAACTCTTTTAACTTAGTCAAAGAAAAATGTTATTCCATGGCCCCAGGCATGGGCCCGGACAACAGCTGTGAGTCTTGCCATGCTGGTCACTGATTATGATGGGGATCAGGTCAGTAAACAGATAGTTTAGTTCCTCCCAGATGCAATGGCATCATTTCTAATGGAATAAGTTTCCACAGAAGATTACTTCCTGGCAGTTTATATGTATTTCAGAAGGTAAGAAGTGCAATAGTTTGATAGATGATATAAACTATCTCGGGAAAGGCACAAAGAAATACTTTTCAGAAAGGCTTTTCTGCTCTCCATGACCTCAAACTTGAAAGTGGTGAATTACATTGCTCTTACTGTGTGTTTATTTTTTTAAAGGTATCTGATAAAGTAGAAGGTGGTCCCTTCTTCCTTCTGCCCCTGTCTTTTCACTATTGAACGGCCTGGTAAAAACATGATCACTATAAAAAACAACAAATGTAGGTCAATAAATGTTATGAAAAAGAAGAAAAGGAGAAAGAGTAAGAAGCAGAAGAGAAAGAGGAGGAGGAAAGGAAGCCCTTATAAACCTTACTTCTTTGTGGTACCTGTACACTTTTAATTTTCTAATGAGGGCGGGTGCTATAAATATCCAACAACACACAAAATGCAAACTTTGTGTTCCTTCCAAATAAGTCAACTGCTCTCTCTAGTATGTCTGTGGACATATAGGTAGAACCAGATAAAAAATACACCATTAGAACATGGCCACCAGTCGTCCACAGCATTCATCTCAGTTCATGCAATTTTGATGTAAACAATGTTCTGCTAAGAAGCAATTCCAAGTGTGGTCTATGGATACACACATCAGAAACTGCCTGAAACAGCAGATTCCAAGACCCCACAACCCACATCTACAATTCAGAATTCCTGGGGGTAGAGGTAAAACCTGGAAATCTGCACATCTAATAATTTCCTACATGTGGTTCTTGTGTATGACCATGTTTGAAAACCACTTTAGTTTAACACGAGAGTGTATTTTAATAACAATAATAATTTATAAGTAAATAACTGAGCAAATTGGATAGACAATACAATCACAACTAGACATTCTAAGTAAACTCTACTTTTGATTCTAATATTGCCTACTCTTAAAATTTTAATAGCTTTCAAGACATGAAATGTCATGATAAATTCAATATATCAATCTTGCTCTGCTGTCTTATTTCTGTGTTATTCAGTATAATTGCTGTATAATAAACTGGACATATTTAATGTGTACAAGTTTTAATATATGTATATACCTGAGAAATCATCACTATAATCAAGAAAATGAACATGTCTATCATACCCAAAACTTTCCAGGTGCACCTTTAACATTTTTCCATTCCACCTGTCTCTGCCAGATTCCACTCCTCAATTCACCATTCCAGGCAACAATTAATCTCTTTTGTTCATTATATATGAGTTTGTATTATCAAGAATTTTATAAAAATTGAATCAAATACTACATACTTCTTTTTGGCCAGCTAATTCCACTCAGCATAATTATTTTTTAATTCACATAGTTGCATGTTTGAATGGTTCATTCCTTTTTTATCGCTAAGTAGTATTACATTGTATGGATATACCAATATTTGTTTATCCATTCAATGGTAATTATTAACAAATATTTGGGTTCTTTCCAGTTTTTGATCATGACAAATACAGCTGTTACAAACATTTTATAACACACATGCTTTAATATATTTTTTTTGGCGGGGACAGAGTCTCAATTTATCACCCAGGTTGAAGTTCGGTGGCAAGATCTCAGCTCACTACAACCTCTGCCTCCTGGGTTCAAATAATTCTGATGCCTCATCCTCCCGAGTAGCTGGAATTACAGACATATGCCATCATGCCTAACTTTTGTATATTTAGTAGAGACGGAGTTTTGCTATATGGGCCAGGCTGGTCTTGAACTCCTGGCCACAAGTGATCTGCCCCTCTTGGCCTCCCAAAACGCTGGGATTACAGGTGTCAGCCACCACTCCTGGCTGCTTTAATTTCTTTTGAGCAAATATCTCAAAGTAGAATGGCAAGGTCATATTGTAATTGTATGTTTAAATATGTTAAAAACTGTTGTACCATGTTACAAAGACACTGTACCACTTTGTGTTCCTTCAAACAGTACATGAGTTCTGGTTGCTCCATATACTTGTCATCACTTAAGATGGTCAGGTTTTAAAATTGTTGACATTTTAGTGGACATATGGTGGTATGTCATTGTGCTTTAAATTTACATTCCCTTAATGAATACTGATGTTGGACATCTTTTCATGTGCTTATTTGCCATCTGTGATCTTCTTTGGTGAATTAAATAATTAAATCTTTTGCCCATTGTTTAGTAGGTTGTTTCCTATTTTGAATGTTTGAGGTTCTTTGTATATCTTAGATTCAAGTCCTTTATCAGATACGGCGTTTGAAATATTGTCTCCCAGTCTGTGCTTTGCCTTTCTATTCTCTTGTGTTTTTGGAACAGTTCTTAATTTTAAGGTATTCCAATTTATTAATTTTTCCTTTTATGGACCATGCTTTCAGTGTTGTATAAAAGAAATATTTGCCTAACTCAAGGTCACAAAGGTTTTTTCCAGTGTTTTCTTCTAGATTTTATGGGCCTAAGTTATACATTCAGTTTATGATTTATGTCTATTTTTAGTTTGATGAGAATTTGTATGAGGATATTGCCAAATGTTTTTTATGTCTATTGAGATGATCATATGTTTTTCTCGAGTGTTAGTCTGTTAATATGGTAACTGATTAATTTTCAAACGTTAAACCAACCTTGCATTCCTGGGATACATCCCACTTGGTTATTATGTATCTATCCTTTCCAGATTATCATGGATTTCATCTGAAATTTTGTTAAAATTGTTGCATCGAAGTGCATAAGAGGTCTTTGTAGTTTTCTTTTCTTATAATGTTATCAAGTAGCTTTGATACCAGGATGATGCTGGCTTCACAGAATGAGTTAGGAAGAATTCTATCCTCTTCAAATTTCCAGAAGAGTGTATAAAGAATTGGCATTTTTTTTCTCCCTTAAATGTTTGGTAGGATTCACCCATTAAGCTATCTGATTCTGGAGTTTTCTTTCTGGGAAGGTTTAAACCTACAAACTTAAATTCCTTAATATAGAGGGCTATTCAGGTTAGCTATTATTTCTTGAGTGATCTTTTGTAGTTTCTGCTCTGTACCTTCCAATACTTTGTATATAATTATAGACAAATCAAGTTAAAATAAAACAAAACTTTTGAGGTTTTTATTTTTCAAAGTAAAGTAACAAACTTTTTTCACTGTTTCCTATGAATTTCTGGTGATGACATTTTATGAATTCATTTAAGTAGCCTTTTGGCACTAAGATAACAAGGACCTTGTATATTAGCAAATACTAAGTACTGCAGATACAGTAACAAATTCCAGCGCAACTCATTTATAAGTAATAACAAAAAAAACTTTCTACAAATCAATTTGTGTCAGGAATATTTTTCTTAGGGTAGAACACAATTATAGAAGCAGATTTATCTGTTAAAAAACTAGAACTCACCTAACACAGTAAGGAATATATATTTTATTTTAAAATATAAAAACATTTGAAGTCTGTCTTGCATTTTATAGCATGTGAATAGTGATGCTACTGCTGACATTATTGATTCACTCACTATTAAACAAAATAATTTGTTCACAGGCCACTGTGAAGCTGGCAATCACTGAATATAATCCAGGCTAATTATGACCTAGGCAGTAACCTGCATGACCTGGAGAGTGTCAGGGAAGACCAATAGCATAAACGGATTCCCAGACTCCAAAGAGATAACCTTTATACAGATTAAACTTAACTGTACCATGTATACTCATGTCTAAGACTGTTCAGTGTTTACTTTAAATTACAGCACTAAGGTGCTAAGTCAGCTTGCTAACTAATTACAGCAGACGTGATACAGCCTGGCTAGCTGGTGTTTATGGGTAAATTAGGAGTTAGGTTTCTGAGCATTTTTAGTAGCAACTGGCCCCTCCAACTGACTCCATCAGTCACTGTAGAACTCAG